CGTGTGCTAAGGGGCTAGTTAACCATTATGGTTTTTTATCTGAAAATTATTATGGCACTCCTCTAAAATAATCAAAAATAGGAATATTCCACCCAAAAGGGCCGGGCCGGGCCGGGCCCGATACAATGGACAAATAATCTAGTGACAAAATTACCCTTTGTACTCATGGCGTGTCGTTTCTGGATTAGCTGGAAAATAACACAATACTGCACTTGGATGCAAATAGCCCAACTACTGCTCCTTGTTCTACAATGAGCCCCTGAAACTTACCGTCAAAAGAGGTTACGGAACCAACGCCACCGTAGCCTTGTAGAAGAAGTGGACCGAACGATAATTTTCTCAAAGGGTTTAGGGTTTGCACCATAACCAAACCCCCAGTGACGAAGCCAAAGCCGAAGAACCATGAAGAGTGCCTTCGCGAGCGCCTCTGCGATCTCTGACCAGAGGCAAAAGATCGAGCAGTACAAGCACATTCTCTCCACCGTGATTTCCTCAAGCGACGTCGTTCAGGCCAAGAATTTCATCGATCACAGTTATATTCCTTCACTCTCACTCTCTCTCTTAACTTTTGCAGACTTTGTTTTTTCCTTTTAGCAGCTTGTTGAGCCTTATATCTTGCTCTACTCTCCAGTGTTGTCGGAGGATGTTCCTTTGGTGGTTTCGCGGCAACTTTTGCAGAATTTTGCTCAAGAGTTAGGGCGGTGGGAGCCGGAGACCCAGAAGGAGATTGCCCATTATGCCCTTTCTCAGATTCGAGCCGTTTCATTTGAAGAGCAGGTTCGTTTGGAACTTCTATGAGTCCCCATCTATATATTAATATCGATAATCAGTCCTTTGTATTTATTTTCTTCAAATTCTTTGAGATTGGATTTCACATTACCCGCATTGTTAGGAATGATGTAGATGTCATTCTCCCATGTATAGAATATAGGGATTGCTGGTGGTGACCAATCCATTCATTTAAGGAAATATTTCTTATTTTAATTTTAGAACTTTGGGGTTATTTTGATTTAGAAAGTACCATATGGTTTCATGTGTTGCAGGTGCTAATCATAAGAGAGAAACTCGCGGAATTGTACGAGTCTGAGCAACAATGGTCAAAAGCAGCTCAGATGCTCAGTGGCATTAATCTAGACTCTGGAATGAGGTCTGATAGTAAGATAGTTTTGCTTTTAGTGTGTATTTTTTCTCATAATGGACTCTGGAATTAACAATCTATATGTTTTCGTGGTATTCCTTCAGAGTGGTGGATGATACATTCAAGTTATCAAAGTGTGTCCAAATTGCTCGCCTATATCTTGAGGTATTGGCTTATTTTTCTTCATTGATACAAATGTTGGAATGGTGGTTGTTGTGATCCTCAATTGATAAGATACCAGACTGGACTATGAGTGTCTGCATATAGAACCTTGAGACAATTTGATGACTGTAACATTCCCATGTTCTGATTGTTAAGAGTTGTTTTATCCAGATGGTTGCCTTCTCATTGGAGAAATATGCCACAGTATCCACTATGACTATTTTTTTTATGCACATTTTCTGCTATTGATGTTGGAATCAAAAGATTTGTCTATAGGATGCTAATAATATAGGTGATAGTGTAATTGCAATTGAAGTTTTTGTATGTTTGTTTTGCAGGATGATGATGCCGTCAATGCAGAAGCTTTTATTCATAAAGCTTCATTCTTGATTACCACTATTCAGCATGAAGTTTTGAATTTACAGTATAAGGTTTGACATTGTTGGGTAGTTAGTGAAAACATTTGCATCAAAGTCTACATGCTACAAGCACTTTTTAATTGCTTTTCCCCCCTGTTTCCCTCTTATCAGGTTTGTTATGCGAGGATTTTAGATTTAAAGAGGAGGTTCTTGGAGGCAGCATTACGTTATTATGAATTTTCTCAGATTGAAAAGAGGCAAATAGGAGATGAGTATGTGAAGTTGAATTGATTAGTCTTGTGCAAAATTTTCTTTTGATTTGTATGTGAGTATAATTTGTCTGGTTGATTTGATAGTTGTGGTTTCTGAAAGAGGCCATTAGGACATGAGTATGCCAAGTTAAACTGATCTAGACTAGTGCAAATTGAGCATATTGTGTATGAATAATTTATCTGGTAGACTCGTTAATAGTTGTGGTTTGCTTTTCCCCTTCCCATTATCCTCCCCGCTTTTTCATTCTTGTTGGCTGTAACATTTGAATGACGGATCATAGAAGTTCATTCATTTTGTTTCAGGGAGATTGATGAGGAAGCACTGGAGCAAGCTCTGTCTGCTGCAGTTACGTGTACAATTTTGGCCGCAGCAGGACCCCAACGTTCTCGTGTTCTTGCCACTTTGTACAAAGTAAATTTCTTTACCTGGAGAGAGAGAGAGAGAGAGAGAGAGAGAGAGAGAGCGAGAGAGAGAGAGATGAATGCGGTTCTTCATTTCACATTATTCTGATACCTTGGGGTTTTGGTTCAGGATGAGAGATGCTCAAAATTAAAAATTTATCCAATACTACAAAAGGTGCTCGCTCTCTGGTTCATATATATATATATATATATATATTTTATCTTTTACTTTTTTCTTCTTTTTTTCTTCTGACGGTATATTACACTTTAACTGTTGCTTTAACGGATATATATTTAGGTGTATTTGGAGAGAATTTTGAGGAAACCAGAAATTGATGCATTTTCTGAAGAGTTAAAGCCGCATCAGGTTATAAACTCTCTTCTCCTCTATTTCAGATATTGTATCTGCAAACTACTTTTCGCTGGCCATAACAGTTGTCTTATTTATCTGAACAGAAAGCACTTCTGCCGGACAACTTTACGGTTTTAGATCGTGCAATGATTGAACATAATCTTCTCAGTGCCAGCAAACTTTACACAAATATAAGGTTGGAGATATGTTGCTGTTGATTTTTCTTTTCAATTTATGTTATTCTAGGGGGACAACTTGGTCTAATTATCCCGAGTTATGTGGCAGTTTTGATGAGTTGGGCACTTTGCTGGGAATTGAACCTCATAAGGTAGAGTTTTCTTCTGTCGAATTGGGAACTTTGCTGCCCTCTCTGTCTCTCCCTATATTACCATTCATGTTTCTCAAATGGATTATATATCTGGCTTGCAGGCTGAGAAGATTGCATCAAAAATGATCTATGAGGACAGAATGAGGGGATCTATTGATCAGGTATGAATTACAAATTGTTGTGTATGCCAACCGAGGACATTAAATCATCAGTGCTTATCACATAGAAATCAGGCCTCCTTAGTTGTGAGAACCTCTTCCAGTTTCATTATATGGAAGAATGTTAAGTGTTCATCAATCCACTGTATGACCCTGAGTTTCATTTTGTTTTCATGAATGCTGCTTCCACTATAAGGAACTTAAAACTCCAATATTTGATGCAAGGGAAATTTTTTATTGGGATGAGATTCAGATTAATGTTTGATTTTGTAATCCATTCTAAATATGTGGCTTTTTTGACAGTCTTTTATTCTAGCGCACATCTTAGCAATGTATCTGATAAGTTTATAACAGGTGGAAGCTGTCATACATTTTGAGGACGACACTGAAGAGCTGCAACAATGGGATCAGCAGGTAAATTTGTCTGCGTTAATTTGCATCAGATATGGTAGTGTCCAATTTCAAATTTCACAAACTGATACTGATGCCAATGTGTCTGCCTTGTCATTTTTGTAAGGTAGTTTTTAAGCACCACATGTATCATCTAAATGCTCAAATTTTCTTCTTATTTGCGGGCTATATTTGCAGATTGTTGGCCTGTGTCAAGCGCTTAATGACGTCTTGGACAGCATGGCAAAGAAGGGCTTGCCAATTCCTGTCTGATCTTTCTTGACGTTGATTCAGAAATTGAACAGTGAATTTGTTTTCACCTCTATACATTTTGATAGCTGTCCCTTTCCCATTACATATTGTAGCGATTCCAATTTCTTGAGAATTACTTGTTATGAGAATTAATTTTTTAGATTAGCTTCAGACGTAAATTTGAAATTTCATATATTGTGAAAAAGACGTAAATATCTCCTTGAAGGTGATTTGTGCATAACTTGTTTATGGCTGTTAATGGCAAGCACTGTTTTGCAGCCCCCATAAGAGGGAGGTCACATAGCCCCGTCATTTCAAGTAGAGCATATTAAATATAGTTGTAACTTTATGGCTTAGTTATTTCGCTCCGTTGTGTGGTTGATGCGCAAAATTTAACGGCCATAAATGAAGCTTCGAATGTCCAACGGCTAAGCAACGTCGAACCCATTGCTGCTTTCTTCCGACCTCCAAATCTAGTTTATCTATCTGGTCCTGAACTCTTCGTCAAGAAAATCAGGGCTTTTATGTGAAAGTATAGGTTTCTCAAACACTTGGTTTTGCTGACATATAGCTATGGTCGCTTTAATAGTTGAACGGAAAGCGCCTGACCAGATCCCTCCTGATAATCGGACCTGGAGTCTTTAGATAGATTTCCTAGTGACCATTATGCATAACTTCCTACACCTATTTACTTTGCAAGGCAACTTGAAATGAAATTTATCATTGCTTTTTAATTTGGTATTTCGCGAGTGCATTTAAGACAGAATTTAAATTAAATTGTTCATAAGGACACTGTTTATTATTGGGAAAGTGGTATTTTTATTTTTTTTGGTGAAATGGGGGGGGAAAACCCCAAACAAACAAAACAAACTAACCAACACAAATCAACCGGGGCCTAGACACCCCTAACAAATCATCCACCAAAGAAGTCCCAATCCAACTTGGAGCCTCATCAAAAACGCAGATACCAAGATCTAAGTTATAACTCCAAGCAGCTAGTCGATCTGCAACACTGTTTTTCTCCCTAAAAATATGATGCAGGCTGCAATTCTCAAGCTGCTGCATTAACTGCCAACAACTAGAGACCAAAGATGCAAGAGGGTGCAAAGAGAGAGAATCATGCTGCTGAACAAACAGTTAAATACATTAAATATATTTAAATAAATAAAACAAAAACCCAAACATAATTCAGCAGTACCAAATGCCATTTATTGGAAGAGCGAAAGCATAACATACAGTGACAACATTCTTAATTATAAATATATTTAGTGTTCTATAATTTTATTTTTGATTGAAAACTTTGTAGTAGTGTTACAAAATACTGCTAGTGCAAGTTCAAATGGCCCTGACTTGCCAAATGAATGGTCTAGGAACTAAGCCTTGAACAAACTCTGAAGTTAAAGTTGATGAAATTTATTATAAAGGTCTAACTGCTATCATCCATCACTTGGGTGTTTACAAACAAACTCTCTCTCCTTTTTGGAAAACCCGAAGAATCTAACCCGGAACCTCTAAATTTTAGTTCTGAAGCTGTTCTAAAATTAGGATCAACAGACGATGGTCTAGGGTTATGATCGGCAGTACCTGGCCTAAATGAACTGGTTGCTGCCCCTGTATACCGTGGGGGAGAGGCATACCTCCTTGATGGACCTCTGAGACCACTAACTCTACGCTCCATCATGTCACTATTTCTCGATGAGGAGTCCACAAAAGACCTATCTCCAGTGCTGCTTTCCCCCAATGGAGCTCCTGTTGTAGCCGAGGTTGAGCTAAAAGGATCATCTGGTCCCCATGAAGTGAGTGCTTCCTTCTTCTTAGCAAAAAATTGCCATGCTCCAAACAGAAAAAGCACAAAGAAGAATACAGGACTGGTCCATAGCATTGTGTTAAATTCACCCTTAAATACCGGAAGGTTGGAACGATACATTCCCACGTACCCTCCACCAAGACCAAGAACAACAAACTTTTCCCGGTCACTGGCTATTAAGGGCATCACATTTCTTTTCTCAGCATCAACATCCACGGTCTGATAATTAAGAAAAGATGACCTAATCTCATCAAGACCGGCGGAGAAAATAATCCGAGGGGCACCTACCCTAACATAATGCTGGGTAGAAACATTATACACGAAAACTTTCTCCCCACTTACAATAAGCAAACACCCCTTTATTGCTTGAAAAGCAAGAGGCTCGTCAATCTCAAACTTTCTCTTAGACCTAACCCTGCATTTGAAGTTCATTATATCCCCTAACAACAACACATGAATCAGATCACCTTCTGATGTAAATCCGTATGCTTTAGACCGCTCTGTTGCATCAAAAACATAGTACCGAGAAAGGGAACGGTTCAACCCTTCACATTCAGACTCCCTGACTTTCATGTTCCTCAGGTCTAAAGACCCTGCACCGGTCTCCGTCAAAAACAAAAGGCGCTGCTTCAAGAAGGCAAGTGGCCTACTGGAGGGCATGGTGGAACCATGAACCGAACCATTTTCTCGAAACACTGTAATTTTCCCACTAACATCACTGGCCAATATATAACTCACCCTCCCAACATGGTGCACATCCAAAATAGCAATGGTCAATCCATCTTCCCCAGTATCAAACTTGCTCACAGTTTCCATTACAAGCGAGCTCCACTCTTCTCCACTCACTCCCTCCCACACTCTGTGCATCAAAATTGCACCATTCTTATGCCCTGTCACCACAAAACTCTCGTTCTTGTAAACCGACAAGAAGGAAGCCATGGCCATGATGGGTGACCCCAACAACGTATCAAACTCAACCAAAACGTCCCCGTTTCTGAGAAACACATAAACCCTCCCTCTCTCATCTCCAACCGCAACGTACTTAGTAACCCCCTCGAAATCCCGAAACGGCAGGACATGAATACAAGTCGCCTGCGAATCCAATTTCACAGCCGAAACAAACTGAAACCTGTCCGACCAGAAAGGACTGTACTTGGTTACCGAAACTGACCTCGCCCTCTCTTCAATTTTACGCTGATCAGAGCCCTCTTCTGGAACTTGCTTGATCAATTTGTGACCATCGTATCTTTCCTTCTTTTGAAGAGCCAAAGTCAAACCCTCATCGGCAGGTGCTAAGCTTTTCGGAGGGTCCGATAATTTATGTTCTAATCTTGCAACTATTTCGGTCAGGTTTTTCACCACTTCTTCGAGCCTTTGCAATACGAGCTGTTGTTGATTGGGATCGGGTTCGGGTTCCGGTTCATGGTAAGGATCTTGATCGTGGGAGTTAGATTTCACGAAAAGCTTAGAAACAGAGGAGGGAGAAGAAAAAATGAAAAGGAAGTAGAGCAAAATGAGCTTGCCTTTGATGGAACTAATCGCCATTGGAGCAGAAGAAGCTATATTACAGCTCGGAAATCATTTTGCTTCGCTAGTGTTTGAGTTCCGCCATTGGAGTAGAGCTTGAGCTGCGGATCTGCGACGTGTTTGGATCTGCGATTTGAAGGATTTGGATCAAGTTTTGTGTTAGATTTCGAGGAATCTGCGGTGCGGTCGTGTGCGGGTCAGCTGAGGGACCTATGAGCTTTTGACTTGGGTCTCTTTTTAGTACGGAGCTAGATTGGATTTCAGACTCTGGATTTTAGATTTTCGATTTTAGGGCAACAATTTTAGTTTTCGGCGTAATTATTATGTAATGGATAGGAAAGATTCGGTGGCAACAGACTTATCCGTATACCAGATGTTACCAGCTCATTGACCTCTAACAAGGTGACACGCAAATGGTTCCTAAGCTTTTTGCTTTGGGCCACGGGTACAAGTTTGGCCCTCGCTCCTCGCATGGAATTATGGATTCACATCATTTTCTTTCCCTTTTCCAAAACCCCAAAACAATAACAAATTGTCCCTTCGAAACGCAATGGCCTCCTCACCAGTAATTACAGTGTGGTATCGTAATACCGGCAGGTGGTGTAACTCGTCACCTGGGACTTTGGTATACAACTTACGGTAAAATGTCAGCTATGCTTTAATTAATGCATTTTTTAACGGATCAAGGGGGCAAGGATTACAAAGAGCTACAATTAAAAAGTTTGTCCACGTCACCATCATTCAAGAATGTTTGACAATCAAGTTCTTCTCTTTGTCTGCACTGGTTTCCTGCCCACCTTGAACGAAGCTAAGACGGATTCAATTTGGGTTTGGCCAATCATAGTCTCCGCAGTGCAGCGCTTTGCATGCAAGGAAGACTGCCTTAATATTTTGAGTAACGAAGGTGATGTGCCTGTATTCTTCCCACCAGCTTCAGCTGATGCGTCTGTCTGCGCAACAGCTTCAGCAGATGTGTTTGCCTTGGGAACAGCTTCAGCTGACGAGTCTGTCTGCACAACAGCTTCAGGTGACGATTTCTGAGAACTAGTCATTACTTTGGAATTGCTAAGCCTGGCTGAAGTAGTCCTGGTTGGTGGATTCTCCCTCTGAATCTGCATTCATCCCATAACCAATAGACATTTTCAGCATTTCGTAAAAATTTATGGTTTTGGTTTCTATCTAATACTGAGTACTGACTGAAGAGTCAAGGCATAACTAGATGCACTTCAATTCCTATTTCCATTTGCCATTGATGATTTGACAACCAGAAGAAAATTAAATTGCTAAAGAACCTAGTGCAACTTTCAGAAAAACCATATGGAAAGAACTAAGAACTAGATGCACTTCAATTCCGGATATAGACCCTACCGTATCTGAAGAATCCTCTAACACTGAACTTGTGCTCCTACTATTGCTGCCACCTCGTCCAAAAATTATAGAGCGAACTGTGCCCAACCCATGCTTTCGGGATGAGGGCAGAGAATGATTAGATCCCCAGCCTAAGAAGGATGACTGCAACATTTACCAATGGCAGAGCTTATGATCAATATCATCGTACAAAAACCTTGCTAAAATCAGCCATGATTTATCATCCTTGATGTTCCATAAATTTCTATATAAAGATTGGAATGAAAATGACTGAAATGATTGTATGCATAAGGTGTCCAAGGTTCAAGCTTGTTTGAACACAAAAGGGAGACTACATGCAGAGAATATATGTGCATTCAACATCCAGAACCACAAGTTACCTTTGATGATATGTCCCTGTCTCCTCCCATGAGCGGCACACTAGAAAAGGCTGCAAAATAGGAAAACAACGAAATCAGCAGAGTACAAAGCAAAATTTTACACTCATAAATTATATGACAAATGACAGATCTTACAAGGTGTTTTGGCCTTCTTAGTATCAGACACAACATTCAGCTTCTTTATAAAACCAAAAGCTTCCCTACAACTTTCATCCTCTGCTGGTGACAAGAAAGTAGCCTGCTCTTCCTGTTTCGAATCAAAATATTCTTGTAAATTAAAATAATATTTCCAGAAAAAATAGCATGAAATGCAGTTATACAAATATAATGGAGTGGATCCATGATTGAAACAGTAAAAAGAATTTCCACCGTCATATGGTATAATGGACCTAAATTTTAAAAGTTGCATCCAATAAACCGCTAAGGACTCACAGCTTTCTCAGACAGGCACTGTTTAGCTAGTCTCTTTTCTGTTTCATCATCATCAGATGACAAGTACGCATCATCATTATCGGTAAACATTAGAGGAATCATTTGCTTAATTTGTCTTAAGCTCATTTGCACAGCATTTGTATCTTCCTCTCCATATTCATCTTTCTCTCCATCTGCATCCTCCTCTCTGTCTGCATCTTTCTCTCCATCTGCATCCTTCTCTTCAAGTAACCTTGTTTCTTTTAGATTAGAACCAAACTTCAGTTTCTGCATAAGTTTTTCTGTTCCAGAAGCATCCTGTTGCTCAAGCCACTTTTGATGGAGTTCATTCCGTTTTTCACTATCCATCGGCCTCTCTTCATATCCAGTTGCTATCATATCATTAAGCTCTGCAGCATCACCATCCTCCTCATCTTCTTCACTATCTTGGAACCGAAACAGGTCATGATCACTGTCATCTTCTTCCTCGGCTTCATCATCCACAAAAGCTTTGACAGGGTCGCCAATTGGAGATGAAGGCAAGTCAGACACTCCAGTAGGATGGGGATTAATATTCTCTTTGTCATTGTCGTCCTCCTCGTCAGAAGAACTATAAAGAGAACAGTGTCATTGCCCATTCATCAGAAAAACTCAAAGAAGTGATCCAACTTATTTCATTATAGAGATAATTTGGAATGCAAAACGAAACAAAATAATTGAGTGCTTCCCCTTTACAAGATATGAAGACATATTAATAACACTTACACATCATAAGGAGGCGCAGAGTCAAGCTTTAAGTTCATTGCAAGTATGGACGGTGCAAAAACCTCTTCCAGAGGGCTGCGGGGAGCATCATTTGGCAGATCATCTTTGGAATCAGTAGTCTGGGAATCCGAAAACAGCTCCTACAACAGTGCAAAAGGTGAAACAGTCATGTTTAAATACACAATCTGTTGGAAGACTGATAACACTGGTTGTAATGTGAAAAGAACCTGAGTATCATCAATAGGTGCTCGAAATGCTTGCTTGGAATCCTTGTCAACATCCTGCAGTTCATCAAATACAACCATTTAATGAAGGAAAAATCTGTCTCAACCTAATGCAGAAAACTCTCCCATAATAATAAGAAGTATCAAAAGGATTCCATGAAACATTTTGACAGCAATTAACATAATATTAGAAGCATAATTCAGGTGTCACATAAGCATAGCTCATTCGTAAAACTGCAACATTCTCTCAAATCCCACTATTTGTGGTTAGAAGAAACACCCAATTAGTGTACTCTTAGATATGCAAAAACCAAATTGATCAAGAAACATGTCTTCAATTACCATCTGGGAAGAAACATTTTCACTGCTTGACTGCTCTTCATCATCATTAGACCGATCCATGCTCACCCCATTTGCAATACTACCCATTTCAGTCCGGGATGCAATTGGCTCCTCAATGGCATGCAATTGGCTGCCCATTACTGTACCACTGCATCTGCAACACGCCCAAAAAAATAATATATTCAATTACCTATTACTATGATATTTATTATTTGAATAAACAGCAAGCCTAAGATCATTTCTAGATGCATTAGTAAAATACTAACTTTTGCAAAACCTCCAGTTTTCTTTTCCGAATCTTCTCCAGAACTGAAGATATCGGCTTCTGAACAAGTGGTATAGGTTTAAATGCCGCATCTCTGGTTTCTAACAAGGAGGAAGATGTGCAAAGTGAGTAGATAGACACAAATAACTACAATAATTTATAAATGAGTACTAATATAATTGGCATTACTTGAAGATACACATGTATTAATTTATATAAAATAAGCTCCAGACAAGGTTTATACCTCGCAAAAGTCTCTGAGATTCAGCATGGAGTTGCTTTAGATGATCTCGTCTTTCCTATAAGATCAGAACAATACGACATAATCAGAAGAAGATAAACTAATTGCAATGCAATTTATGGATACAATGTGAAAAAACTGAATACCTTTTCGGTTCTCCTCTTGCCCTTGGCTGCGGTGATTTCACTCTTGGCCCTCTTACTCTTCTTCTTGTCTTTGTTTTCCTCGAAGCAATCAGAACTACGCCGTTTCTTATCCGGTTCATTCATCCTCATATCCCCACTTTCTTCTGGCATCTCTTGGTTTCGATCTTCACCCTCTTCGGGGAATTCCTCAACTACAGACCCAAAATCCAAGACCCTCTTAGCTCCTGATCCATCTTCCCCACCACCCAATCCATCGAAACTCGAATTCATTTCACCTTCACAGCCCAAACCATCAGAGCCAGAATTAGCTTCACCTTCACCGCCCAAACCATCTAAACCAGAATTAGATTCACCTTCGCCGCCCAAACCATCAAAACCGGAATTCGTTTCAGCTTCGCCACCAAAACCATCGAAATCGGGATTTATTTCACGCTCACCACGCAGACTCTCCGATCCAATCCTTGACCCCGATGGCTCATTCGATTCCTCCAAACTGAGGGCTTCAAATTCGGAGGAATTCACTCGGTCACTTTCAGATTTATCGAGAAGAGGCTCTTCAGAAATGGAAACCCTCCTAATTGCTTTCTTTAAGCGCTTCAGCTTCGTTTCACGGACTGGAGGGGCAGCCTCCTCGGAAAAGAGCTCAAAATCTTCGTCGCTGTCCATCTCTGCAATGAATTTCTCAGCGTAATAGTTGAAGGAAAAAAAATTAGGGTTTATCAGACAATGGAACTTTAAGGCGGATCTACTCTAATTCCTGAGAAAAATAAACGCAGTGTGATTTCTTTCTATTGTCCGGTTGTAAGCCTAGTGGTTGTAGGAATTTCTCGGATTTAATTTAAGCGCCAAATGGTTCAAAATTCTTTTCGTGAAGCTAGTACCGCCAAAATTACCTGTTTTCATGACGAAACATCTGGACCGTCATATTCTTTAGGTTTTGGTAAACGGTTGTGATTAAAGGGCGAGATCGTGCCCTATAATACCGAAGTATGATAGGTTTGATTTTGGGCTCCACTTAAGCAGATAATGGGCTTTAAGGCCCACTTTAGATTAGCGGTCCACAGGTTTGGCCGGAGCAGTTCATTGCCATAGAAAAATAGCATTTTTATTTTTATTTTTATTTTTATTTTTTAACCAAATGAAGATGGAAGCTTC